GCTACCTTCTATTTATCGCATAAGAATCAAAGTTAATCTTGTGAAACAAAGTTAAGAATCAAGTAACTTGGTGTAGTTACAAACACCGGTGCACAGGATCACATATTCCATGGTCTGTTATATGTTCACTGAAAAAACTTTAGTTAAAAATTAATCATTCTGTCTTTTATTTTCTGTTACATTTTTCATCGATAAAAGGAATCCCATCTAAGAATGTGTGAACAGAGCGATATGTATATCATTTCCATTCACTCAACGATTGAGTATAAAGGTCGAGAATACTCACTTTCATAAAAACGAGACAATTTAGAGAAGAAAATGTCCTTTATCAGTGAAGTGACCTTCAAAGGCTGTAAATCGAAATACGATTGTACATCCTTTTAAGATAACGTCGTTTACAAAGAAAATGTTCTTCACTTGTCTTTTATTTCCGGACGAGTAAAACATGTTCGGTGTAGTAAGCGAAATAAAAAATTTATTCCTTTCCAGATTTCGGCCTCGTAGAGATTCGATTGTTTTCAGGGTTACGTTTGTAACTTAGTAGCAGAAATTTAATGCGTCTCTCTAGCAGACTGATGGTCGCAGGCGGGGTAGAGGATGTACACTACTGAAAGATATGAAACTATAATAATTCAAATGTCTAGAGTTGTTTGAATGTCAATAGTTTTTTAACGAATTAGAATTATCTACCGCCTAATATAATTCACTTAATCGAATGGAAGAAGTTTGTTGATTGGTCACTGTTATCATTTTACTTTTGATATGATTTCGGTTTCAACTAAACATTTCATTGTTCTTTAAATAACTACTATTTATTCTGAAACAATGCCAAATATTTCAGAATATACATTAAAGTAAAACTGCATTGAGTAAATCCAATTCCACAAATACCTGAATTCTGAGAAAAACCTTTTGAATTTAGTTTCACGTAACTTCAAAACATACAACTTGGGTGAATCATATATTCTTATAACCAAGACTGTTTTAGGTAGTTTAACTAACAAGTATGTATACTTTAATGTACAGATATTGTTTTCCTTCACGTTCCCAGTGGAATATAGGGCTTCAAGCTAGTGGCTTGAAGTTTCTCTAGCAGTGTTTATTTTACAGGATGGGGTTGCTAGCCTCATGCCCAACCTTTCCTTTTTACCAGTTTCACTACTGGCTTAGAGAGGTAAAGGAGTGCATCGGCCGGAGATCGAACCCCGGACCATGTGCATGGTCGGCGAGCGTCCTAACCGCTATACCACCGACGCGCAATGTACAGATATACATTTTAGCAATAGTGTGGTGTATACTACTAATAAGATTTATCAGTAGTATGATAAGTGGCGTTCATCGGCATAAAAATATCAAATAGCAGAGGCAGAGATATGACATCAAAGACAAAAAATGATTCAGCGTTGCAGAGAAACATGAGCGACACAAAAAGAAGACAAAGAAACACAATACGAAGGAACGGAAGAAGTAGCACAACACGGAAGATCTGTGCAGATGACGATTTCAAGAATAGGGTGAACATAATGTGGCTACATAGAGATATCAAATTCCAAAGAAACACCTTAATTACCAAGTCTCTTATCTTCTACCATTACAGTAGGACTTTGTCGATCTGGAATTATACACCATCAAACTGTATTTACATAAGCTATCTTCGGTGTCCATTATGTAGTGAATGGAAACAGACATTGTAACTAGAAGAATCCACACTAGTCTGAGCATGGTTTATGACGACTTTGCATACTTAAATAAGCTTGTTTTTCATTAGTGATGTGGATATAAATTAATTTCTTTATAACAAAAGTGCCGCATTCAGAAATAGTTAGGCTGTGTAAAATAAGTGGTTCTCAAGACATCATACACTTAGTAATGTCGTTTTATTGTATGGTATGACAAATTGAGTTATCCAATATGAAATTATATTTCACCACGTCAGCTAAATTCTAAACTCAGATTAACGAAAGCAATTAAAATCACTGTGAATGTCCATCCTTTCGCTTAAATGAGCGTGAACAGAAAGTTGAAAAATGAAATGGATATAATGTATGGATTCCGCTAATCCACCAAGTCTCTAACCTTTGTTTTGAGCCATGTAAGGACATCTAGATTGTCTAGCTACTGTCCTAAAGCTGCTAAAAGCTGATGGTTAAAAACCTTTCGTAATTTGGCTTAAAATTGTCCACAATGGTGCGTATGTTCTTACTCTTTATTTCCTTCGAAATTCTGGAAATATTCTTTAGTCTCTGCTAAACAGTTCTTTCTTCTATGCAAATGCTTTCTTTTTCACTTTACTGTAGTCTGTTTCTGTTCTCATATTTCCACATGTTCTGTTTCGAATTGTCAAAACCAGAAGTAATTCTCTTCCGTTCAGAATTCTATACCGATCTGTCATTACCAGTGAAGTCTCCGCAAGGACCGTGAACAGTGGTGGGTGACAAAGGCGAAAGAGATGGAAAAAGCATTGGCGATAGGCAACACTAGGCAACTCTTTAGACTCATCACAGAATCGGGCGGGAAAAGGCAATTCATAAGTGAGACTATTTCTGAGAAAAATGGCTCCTTAATTAGCTCTCAGGATAGACGCCTTGAACGCTGGAAAGAACACTTTGAGGAACAATTTAACTTGCCTACAGCCACACTGAACCTCCCCGCCATCCACCACGTACCCGAATGGGATATAGACACTGGTCCGCCGTCTGTAGGTGAGGTTACAAAAGCTATCAGTAATTTGAAACGAGGCAAAGCGGCAGGACCCGACGGAATTATTCCGGAGGTGTTTAAATATGGGGGTGACATACTAGTTTGTAGATTAACTGAGGTACTAGGCAAAGTCTGGGAATCAGAGACAGTACCATCAGACTGGGGTAAGTCACTCATTATACCGATATTCAAGAAGGGAAACAAGTCCTCGTGTGATAATCATAGGGGGATCAGCCTAACGAACATAGTCTCTAAAATCCTAGGCTCAGTAATCATGCATAGACTAAGCAGAACTCGGGAGGAACAGACAAGGGAAAATCAAGCAGGCTTTAGACCAGGTAGAGGGTGCATAGATCATATCTTCACTCTTCGACAGATTCTAGAACATAGACACACTTTTCGGCGTCCAACAATTGTCATATTTCTTGACTTGAAGGCGGCCTTCGACTCCGTGGACCGAAAAGTACTATGGCAATGTCTGACTGTGAAGGGAGTGCCAAGAAAGTACATTGCACTAATCAAGGCACTCTATTCAAACTCACGTAGTCGTGTAAGGGCTTATGGGGAATTGTCATCTGAATTAGTAACAACCAGTGGTGTCCGACAGGGATGTCCACTTTCCCCATTTCTGTTTAACTTCATCATAGATATGCTAATGGAAGTATCCTTAACTGAACGTAGTGACTTAGGAATCGACTTGTTACCAGGGAATAATCTAATGGACTTAGAATATGCAGATGACATAGTCCTGTTAGGGGAGGATGCTGACAAAATGCAGAGTCTTCTGAACACCTTGAGCAGCAATCTTCGTATGTTTGGCATGCGATTCGCCCCTGCAAAATGTAAGATGCTGCTACAGGACTGGACGACGTCAACCCCTAACTTAGTGATAGGGAGTGAAGTGATAGAACATGTTGACCACTTCACCTACTTGGGAAGTTGTATTAGCACCAACGGACTGATTGGCGATGAAATCTCAGCACGGATCCGAAAAGCTCGAGCTGCTTTCGCTGACTTACACCATCTCTGGCGTAGGCGTGACATCCGGTTATCAACCAAGGGACGTGTGTACTGCTCATCAGTTCGCTCCGTCCTTCTCTATGGCTCTGAAACATGGCCAATACGCGTTGAAGACATGAAAAGGTTGACTGCTTTCGATCATAGATGTCTGCGATCTCTGTCTCACGTTAGGTGGTTTCACAAGATAAGTAATGTTGACGTTAGGCGTAGAGTGTTGGGCAAAGAGGGAAAATCAATCGACGAGGTTATAAAGTTACATAGACTAAGATGGCTAGGTCACGTGGTGCGCATGCCTAACCACCGCCTCCCCCGACGGGCATTGTTAGCTGATATAGGTTCAGGTTGGAAAAGAGCCAGTGGTGGCCAAACAAAAACATGGCATCAATCCATGAAATCCTTGACAGTTAAACTGAGTCAGGTAGGGAGATGCAGACTCCCGGGTTGGGGCCCTCGGGACTCTAGGAATCAATGGCTGGAGACAATAGGTGACATGGCTCAAAATCGTTGTCAATGGCGCAGATGTATTCAGTCTCTGTAATCTTTCATATTCCTTTCTACCATTACCCATTCTGTTTCACTCCTATATTTGTCAAACTCTATTAATTCTCTCCACTCATCTTCTTGTCTACCTCTGTGTGCTATTTGGAACGTGGCAACTCGAACTGCTGCACTTCGGTGCCAAGTTCTATGTTGAATCCAGACAGACAGACCAGTGAAGTTGTTTAATAAATTAATGCGACAGAGAAAGAGAGAGAGTTCTAGATTTGTAGCTAATTCAAATTTAATAAATTATCCTACGTCTGTAGCTGTTTTACCATTGCAGGAAAATCACAAGGCTACGTATATGAATTAAATCTCTTCCAGTGATTTTTAACAAACATTCCACTAATAAGTGTATTCGCGAGAGTTACTGATGTACATACTTTTGATAATTGAAACTGAAACAAAACCAGACTTAAGATGATTGGCCAATACACTGACCGAATGATCTGTTTTACTCAATTGCCTATCATTATTTTATTGAATATTTCCTTCTACCGGCAGTCCAATTTCCTAATTACCTTAAGACATTTAAATTTATTTGGTGAGCATTAACCTTATCTCTGTAGTCAGTTTTATGTAAGATGCTAATTTGACTACAGATTGTTTCATAGCTTCATCTAAGAATCTAATACGCGGTAGAATAGCTAAAATGATGCTAATAACAACGTTCATTTTCAACGTATACAGACTTTTAAGAAGAAAATATAAGACTTGTATTAATAGTGGTATAATGAATTGTATTCTCTCATGAAAATAAATGAAATAAAAGCAGTATATATGTATGTTTGAAATATGGGCACTGTGGTAATACATAGCTCCATATCAGTTTGTTTTAGTGTATAGATTAAACAATGAAACAGTACAATTCACTGAATGTCATTTCTCAACTAATTTATCCTTCATTATCATATCAAATGATTATCACTATAATTAATACATCGTTGTCGAAACACCCTCCAGTAAATAATACTGTTTCATTGTAGCGTATATCTAATATGTTGACTAATATGGAGTTAAATAAAGCAGACTATGCACAAATTGATCAGAGGGTTGAAGTTAATTTATTCGTCGTAATAACAGTAATAACGAGAGGTGTAGAATCATAATAAGTACAATCACATGCTGCATTGCATCAGACGTTTTTTATACTCTCGTAATCCACAAGAATTAGGTGTAAAGTAATAATAATAATAATTGGGAAAGTAGATAGACGAGAGAGTATTGTACTCAAAACAGCGGTAGAAGAGATGAAAATATTTTACATTTGTTGCTTGTTCAATGATAAATAAGCTTGAAGCATGAATTTTTGAAATATTTCTGGATTAACACTTGATAAATGTTGAGGTGAAATTAAATCTGAACTGACTGATATATTGGATGAAGGATTTAGAGTTTTCAAATCTGTACTTTGTTGGACAGGATTAATTTGAGAATTTCTCAAATTTCTACTGCTGACAAAAGAGGTCGGTGGTGATAATAAATTCGTTGTAACTTGATTAGAATAATCATCTGATTGTAAACTATTTGAATACTGATTATACGAGTGATCAGATAATTCCATTTTCATTTGTCCTATTTTGGATGCAAAAGGAAATGAATTACCAGATGATGGAGAAAGATCTGAAGGAAACACTGGTGGACAACAGGATGTCGACGACATAGATGGGGTTATTGAGGTTAGAAAGTCTGTGCATGGGTGAATTTTATTTGTTAACGGAAATGGTTGTTTTTGTATTGTTTTTTCAAAGATATTTTTAAATTGAGGTTCCGGATACAAATTGCGTAAATATTCCATTAAAAATTCACAACTAGTTCTCGCTTCAGTAAATTGATGCTGTTCTTGTGGTGTTGGTGGTGATGGTTGTTCACTATTATGATTGACTGACTGATAGAATAAATCATTTAGGAGTTGAATATTGAACTCATTTCCAGTTAACGAATCTACCTTATTTCTTATGGATACGGTGTTTGAATTTAGTGCACTTGAACTTAAATGCTTTTTCATACTATCCAGCAAATGATTAGTTTTCCCATCATAATGATTAAAGTGATTCATAGCATTTCGTCTTCCTGTGGATCGAGTATTTACTGTAGTTTCTTGTTGTTGAGATGGCTGAACTATTGGTGGTACTGTTGATTTTGTTGATGATAGTGATTTGGTCACAGATTTCATAGTGCCACACTCCACAGAAGGAGTATCGCAAGTGTAACTGTCATTCACATAGGTAGTATGTCGAGTCTTTTGAGTTTTCTTACCTTCATTGTATTGAGGATAATAATTATTGATGGGTATACTAGTAAAGTTACTATTCATATTGTTGCTGTTAGGATATTTGTCTATAAACGCATTAACTGTGTCCTCCTCTGAAGACTTGGATTGCCCATCAATATTAGGGTGTAGTTTCCGTATATGTTTTTTTAAGTCGAAATTTCGACAAAAGCCTTTATCACAAATAGTGCAGATGTAAGGTTTTTGTGCTTGATGTGTATGCATATGAAAGCTTAAATTGTAAATTTGATGAAATGCTTTATGGCATATATGACATTTATATTGTTTCTCTGCGCTATGAGTCAATTTATGATTTTTGTAATTTCCTTTTTGATGAAATCCTTTACCGCATATTTCACATGTGAATGGCTTATAACCTATAAAGTGAAGAAAACGAAATGACATATAAAAGAGTTCCAAAGATTCTTTGTAATAATGGTGACATTTTTAATAATCGAATATTTTCAGAATTTAACTAGTTAGGATAGGCTGTGATGTTCCAATATGGTTAGACTTTATCTACACCACTGACCTAACTTAAGTCTAAACCGTTGAAACAAGTCCCAACTTCAAGTATTGTGCAAATACACGTTAGTCATTTCCGTAGATATCGACGAAATATTATCGAAGGAAACAGGGAAAATTTAAGAGATTATCTTCTTCATAAAACAGCAGAACCATTTTCACTTATGATACAATTTGTCTGTTGGTTGTAGGACTAGAAACTAACGTTTTGGTATTTCTTTAAGCTCACTAAGTGGATTTATCTGAATTACAATAAACGGTAATGTTTTGAATGGGAATTAAAAGGAATACTGTTCCCTATGGAAGTCAGTACGTGATTTACCAGAGCATTGATTGAAGTCGAACAAAACCCACTTTTCGCGTTTCTACCGTACCAATAAGGATCGAACAATCAAAAATCATGTAAATTTAGAGGCACAAGTGTATCATTAAGCCATCGGGCACTAATCACTTCTATCCAACAAAGTTGCTTCTCTTCTACGACAGATTTAACAAGTGGTTTACAAACTATTTGGAAGTTTTTCTTTTAACTGCAGGGATAATGCTAACTAATTTTATTTTGTGGGCAATGTTATAATGGTTAAGTGGATCTGGTTACTGACCTAATATAACTCAGATTAATTCAAGAAGAGGTCTGGCTTACTGAATCATCTTAGTTAAGAGGCAGAAGAGTCAAATAATGTAGGTTCAATGAAACCTTATTCTTCAAGTTTATCGGGAAAATTGATTGAATCTTGCCTTTACCACGTAACTGAAATCTGTCTGATAAACCGATCACTTTGCTTGAGGATTTACTACAGAAAACAGTTTGTTTATCAAATCATTAATTTGGACTCCCACTATACTACTTCAAAGAACCATCTTAGTTACCGAAATATTACCACAAAATTCTTTGGTTACAAACCAAAAGTCGTTAACATGGCAGGGAATATTCAATTTTCAGAATATGGATTTCCTATCAGATATCTCACGTTTACCGTTCTTTTAAGTAGGACATTATTTAGCACTTTGGTGATCATCATTTCCAACTGATACGACTTAAACAACTCTCATTACATGAGGCTCAATGAACATTTATGAAAACATTTTGACATAATAAAAATGATAAAAAGATTGATTACCATTACAAGAATCTTACCTTGATGTATTCGAGAGTGTGTATTCAAAGTTGAACTTCTGTTGAAGGCTTTACCACATACCCAGCATATATGTGGTTTCTCTGAGGTATGAATAATTTTATGACGACATAAAGTACTAGCTTGACGAAAGCCTTTATTGCACACCTGTTATGTTGAACAAACACGAAAGAAAATCATGAGTGATACTCATTGAAAGAAATTTACGCAAATAACAAGTTTACGAAGTTACATTTAATATCTCATTACATATTACTAAATAAATTTGTTAGTTAACTATATCTGTGTGTCTTCCGAAGGCACTAGAAGAAACATTTGTCATATAATTAAGGTCCAGATATACATTAAGAGAAAAATCTGACGGTCGTGGATTCCATCTTTGTTGGTGTTATCGGTGCACATGGTTAAAGAGTTCCAGAATAGGACTAAACAGCTGTTCGGTGGCACTTGGTTTTCAACGATCTATCTAAATGATCTTGGTTTGTGACGAAATCTAACAAATGAAATTAACTTAAACATATTTTTAAAAACATTTCTGACCTTGCAGTTCAACTAACACAGATATTCTGTCGTAACTCTAACACTCTTAATCCTTAATCTACGGTAACTCAGATTTCCCTTCGTTTCTAGCCATCTTGCATGTATGGTGAGATCAAACAGTCAATCACAGCTATACCAACCAGTATAACAAATAAACAGTTTCTTAAAGAGTTTTGGGAAAAGGAATCATAGTTAAAATATATCACGTATACTGTGATTAGACACTGTTAAATAGTGTGATGTATGTAGTGCAGACTGAATTCTGTCAGTCAGGTGGGCAATGTGGCCACCGTTCTAGGTAGCTCACCATCATGATGCACTTTTAATTGTTAGTTACCAGTATCCAATCAAAGTATATAATACTGTTCTGTAGGAGGTCAGTCACCAGCCCGAATAGCTCAGTGGCAGCGTCTCTGACTGCAGCACTGGGTGACATGGGTTTGAATTTCAAAAGCGACATGAGTCCCTTCAAGGTTGCAGATACGCCTTGCTGACGAGTGGCAGCTAGCACGTAACCTAGGTCCAAGGCCTCCTGTCGATAGCCTCCAACCATCTAATATATATGAAATGTATCATGTTACTGTAAAGGTTCTGGTGAAGAACGAGCATAGGTCCTGACACCTACTAATTTGGATTTTCATCTTCACTTTGTAGTAATTCTATGTTTGGTGATATTTCATTTTATTATGTTCCAGTACATGTTCCACAGCACTGTTAAACTTTTACTATATGCAGTCTTTTGTGAAATGGATGGAAACGATTTAGGAGACAGTTAAAAAACACTTTCTTAAGAAACGGAAGATTCCTGATAGACACATGACGGTTGTATTAAATTCTACGCATTTTGTTTAAATCATAATTCAAATGTCTGATCATTAGAAAAACATCATAAATTTGAGTAACTTGACAACACTGATTTTGCCAAAGTACAGGATGACTTCTTATGTATCCCCTTAGATGCGTATTCATCACTTATCTTCTAAACCCAATATATACCTCTGATTTTCAGGGAATACATATAATTTTCTCCAATCAGCTCATTTCAGTAAGTACTGTACATGAAGGGTTGGGCGGCTGTGCAGTTCATTTTGGTCCTTTGTACTGTTTCAGATAATTTCATGTTAAACCTTATTTACATTCACACTTAAATTATTCCTCTTACTAAATGACTCACCTTACAAATGAAAGGTCTTGCACCAGTATGGATTGGCATATGTCTTGTTAGATTGTAATGAGCAGTGAATACTTTACCGCATTCTGGGCAAGTATACGTTTTATTTGTATTTGCATTGTCTGACATACTGTTCTCTGAATTTATCTTGACGTCACCCACTTCGCTTGTATCTTCTGCTGTTACTTCCACTGTCATACTGTCATCATCATTGCTACTTTCTGTGTTTTTAGTAATACTACTATCAATACTTTTAGTAGAATGTTTATCCATTACTTTCATGTTATCATTAGGAACAATATTGATATCTGAGTATTGTAGTTCATGGAATTGTTGTTTTCTATCTGACTGGCAATTTTGTCGCCTTTCTATGAAATTAATTTCACTATTGTTGTCTCCTTCATTAATGATATCGATCATTCCATCGACCTTTATTGTTGAATTCTGCACTTGATCAGACAAAAAAGAATTTTGATCAGTACATTGTTCTGAGCGCATCAAAAGTGATGTTGTTTTCAATGTTAAATTATCATCTTTTGAACAGATTGAATTTAAATTTATTTCATTCTGACCAGTGGAATTTCTTGGTGGTCTTGAGTGACTACTGATAGTTAATTGTGAATGATCGATCAACCGATCGATAGAGAAATTCCCTAGTGAAGTAGTCATTTTTGATCAATTTTTTTCTCAGTAGAACAATCCTAAAGAGTAAAAGAATGAGAAAAATGAAGATGAAACAAATAAATTTTTAAAATTATGTTACAATGGGAATTCTGAATAACACAAAATATTTTTTCCTTCACGCTCCCAATGGAATATAGGGCTCCAAGCTAGAGGATTGAAGTTTCTGTAGCAATGTTAATTTTTTTACAGGATGGGGTTGCTAGCCTTATGCTCAACCTTTCCTTTTTACCAGTCTCACTACTGGCTTAGCAAGGTAAAGGATTGCGTCGGCCGAGGATCGAACCCCGGACCATGTGCATGGTCGGCGAGCGTCCTAACCGCTGTGCCACCGACGCACTTAACACAAAATATACGACTGTTTTATAGTGTATAGTCGTGTCAAAGTACTCTTTCTCTGACAGAAACACTTCAAAACGATTCTGATTTCTATTGGAAAAAAACGGGGATCAGAAATTTTTTTGAGTAATTATTTTCATCATTTATTCCCAAATGGATATTCAGATTCAAAGAATTAAGCGTAGCGAATTCACGTTGACCGAATATCCTCTGACCAAGACGAAAAGTTCTGGAGGCAAGAATCATTCCTATGCAGAATCGTGATGATCAATATGAAGCAGCAGTATGACTAATTATGCTTCACTCCTGTAATATATACAGAATTTGTTAAGCAGCATTGTTAAAATTTAAAAAATATTTTTAGAGATGACCGCATGGAAACAGAATTCTAGCTGCTGGAACTTATGTCACTTGAGTGAGAATTTACGTAGGATTATTTCCTATGCATGAAGTCAGAACAACTCTGCTCTTTGTTTTGTTTTCAAACGGATGGACAGTTAGTAACAGTATGTTTGACTACTTGCTACGATCATCATAACTAGTAATGAAAACAACAGAGCATGTTGTGTTTTAAACTGTGTTCTGGTGAATTCGCACAAAAGGTGTAACTGCTTTTAATGATGAGAAATTGGCTAGTGTAACAATTTGTCTTAAGCCTTGTTAAATCGTAATGTACTGAAAGGAAGGTAGTAGGAGAGTTTTCGTTCGTCTTGTTTACGAAATCTTTTTTTACTTCTTTACTTTCACGGTGGAACATACGGTTTCAAGCTAGAGCTTTAGTGTTTCTGTAGCAGTGGTGTTTATTTTTACAAGATAGGGTTGCTAGCTTCATGTCCAACTTTCCCTCTTTACCAGTCTTAATTCTGGCTTAGTGAGGTGAGGGAGTGCATCGGCTGGGGATCGAACCCTGGACCACATGTGTGGTTGGCGACCATTCTAACTTTGTACCACTGGGGCACATATCAAGTATAATACTACTAAACGCATTCCATTGAAAAGATTAGGATTTATAAACTCGGGATTTATTTAATCTAATCTTATCCCCATTTTTAAACAAAATCTAGTAAAATAATTTAGGTGCAGTGGGATTTCAGTATCTACAATCAATAAGGATCACTGATTATTTAATTTCACAGAGTGTCTTAAAGTAAACCGATGGAAGTAAGCAGCATAAATTCTGAATCATTTAATTTAATTTAGGGGTATGTTAAATTTAATATTCATCAAAGGAACGCATCTCTTCAACAAAAATAGCTTTATCCCTTTCTTTTCATTTCATTTTATTGTATCACATCATCAAACAGACTGCTACTGAATCAAAGTACTTTTATCAACCTATATGAAACCTGGCCTCTTTGGGTCACCTCCTTCTAAAGAGTTGTATACTCTGTGTAAACATTAACATTAGGAAATCATAATGTGCTCGAAAGCCTGATATGCAATAGTACTTAGTAAATTAAAGAACACAGTCATATTTAAAAGACAGTTTGTAATTTGTTCAAGTATGAAAATGAATTAATCTGTCTTAATGATTTTTGAATAAATTCTCTACAGTGTTATAAACGACTGAGAATTAAGTCTCAAAGTTAAATGTAAATGTTTACTTCTTGTACTAACACAGGAACTCTACTTTTATTCTCATGCAAATCAAATAACAAAGGAAATCTCTACGCGAATTTATTGTGATAAACCTTCAGTATGAAATGTACTGAATTCAGTTATTGTAACGGCAACAAATATTATATTTTATAATACTAAGAACTTGAAGAGGAGGAATTATTGAAAAGAGCATTCTTCGTTCAGATTAACTCTTAATTCATGATATGAGAATATTTCACGCTATTAGACCTTCAATTATCACATCATTTATTGCAATGATTCCTTTAATGTTATTTTTCTTCTTCTAAAGACTTACTACACTTATTAACCGTTAATCAGTACCTTAAAAAACCATCATATTTCGAGGACTTTATCGACAGTATGATGGATTTCCTTTTACCAACCGACTATTTATTCTTAATATGGATTATAACTTCATTACGCTATCTGTTGGAAAAGTAATCCTTACGAATAGACAGAAAGTGAATGAATGCCTTTCATTGATATTTGCTATAGAATGTAAGATGTGCTTAATATTTTCGTCACTAATTCATCTACACTGAATTATACAAGTTTCACCATGATTTAAAAATAGCTCGAGTTAAGCATACAATACACAACGTTATCATTTAGATAAATGTCAATCAAACAGAAGATATACTGGTGAAGTGAATAAATGGTTTAAAGCTCGTGTATTTAGGCTAGAATAAACAGGAAACGAATGCTTAACAGAATTTCTCTATCCATAATTGTTTTGTACGTCGGTGGTACAGCGGTAGAAGGCTCGCCAACAACGCCATTTGTGGTTCGGGGTTAGATCCCCGGGCGATGTACTCCTTTACTTCACTAAGCCAGTAATAAGATTGGTAAACAGGAAAGGTTGGGCATGAAAACACCACTGCTACCGAAACTTCAAGCCTCTAGCTTGAAGTCCTATGCTCCACATTTATGCAACATATCAACAAGTTTATTTTCTATAATAGGTCGTAGTAAATTTAAAACAACAAGCAACAACTGTGAAGAAAAAAACTGTAGTTACTGAATTCATAAATTCCCATAGGAAACCTCTACAAACGTTTTTATTTATACAGTCTTTTTAAAACTAACAAACAGTCGAAGGGATTCATTAAATATTGCTTTTTTTCCATAGTTGTTGCTTGTTTTTTACTTTTTATAGACTTCAGAATTCTCAAGGATTCGACAGGCTAAACATAGAGCATTTTTAATACAGAGATATGATGTGACTTTTGTCAATGATACTAAAGTGTTATCACTATACCCTACAAATGACTACTTTCATCAACACTGACTAATAAACCAAAAGTTGACTGTATAAATCCAAGGCTACTGACTGCAAAATGATTAGTTTCAATAAATGTATGTTCAGAAATTTTGTCAATGTCTATTTTCAATAATCAAAAGACATCTCTTAAACATTATATGCATATTCTTCTGCCATGTGATAGGCTGTAAAACTAAATGAATGTTCATGTCATTTTCAGAAGTGGACCTCTTTTATATCATAAGTGAATCCTGTAGTCTATATAATTCCCCTATGACACATTTACACAGCCAAAGATTTCACTAATGGGATCTGTTTGATGGCTTATTGGTTAGACGATTTCATCATGAGCTGACGTCAGTTAGAGAACCATTGGAAAACCACCTAGGAGTACTGGACAGCTGTTCCCTCTGTCCTAGTTTGGGACTCCTCAGCAGTGCGCACCCACCGACAGGGTTCGAACCCAGGACTTTCTGGATACAAGGCTATCGAACTCGTAGATCATTAAGCCACCGGGCCCAGATCCAATGGCCCATGAATTCTAACTGATGTCAGCCCATGATAAAATCTTCCGACCATTTAAACAAAAATCCCTATAAAACCAATACTTGAAGATTATTCATTTATATTCGTTATGCCTAAGCCATTTCGTTGAGAATGATAATATAGTCATTTTTTCACTTTTAATAGGTAATATAAAGCACCTTAGTGATTAGATAAAAAGATTAGGATGGTGAGTATTTACACGAAAACTGCACGATAAGCAACACTAAAGTTAATAACTGACCCCAATCCAGTTCAATTTGGTAATTCTTTTTGACGTTCTATCAATTATAATTCCACTAAAGCAACTACGTTTAGATTCAATTGTACGTAAAATGCCGTGGAAATTTTCATCCTTTTGACTTTTTAGTTTTCAGATAAAAAGGCAGGGGGTAGATGTGCATCCTGTGATTACAGGCTCACATGTTTGTGTGTATGAGGGTGGGTGGGGGGTTAGAGTGTAAGACAGAAATAAATGGCATCTTCTATTCACATAAACACGAGAATAATATAGCCAAAGATTTGTCCTATACCATTTAAAATCAATAAATAGTTGTCCGATTGGCCGCTTTTCCTCCTCTCCACAAATGGGCATATTGAGACTGAAATAGGCTGTATTTTTCAAATTGACCAATCATAGATTTCTACTTTCATCCCCTATATTTTGTATGTATTGAAATAAGTTACCAATAAAACGAAAGAGATGAGAGAATTTTTGGAGGAATTTAATGTGACCAATAAAACTAAGTGTATTATAAATGATGAAATGAGGTAGAAGAAATTTCCCGATAAAAGTATATACTCTCTGTGGCTTTATTGAAACGCTGAACAAAACAATGTTATATGTTGTAAGGTTACACATATAGGCTTAAAAAAAATATCCGGAAGTGAAAAGAAACACAGGAAATTACTCTGAAAACTGTCCAATTCACTGGATTACGCCTCACTCAACGAATCAGTTAAAAAATTATCATTACACTGAGTATGTATTTACGTTGGTTTTTCATCGAAACAAAAATTACCAATGAACATGTTTATTGTGATAACGATGGCGTTTATAACCGAATATACTTCGAATTCAATACAGTAAATCCTTTTTAGAAGAGGTATAACTATTTTTAGAAGAATTTACTATAAAATACCTAGGGTCACTGTAAGTTTCCGGTACAACACTTCACAGACTGCTCTTTAATAATTGGCGACCTAATTTACAGAAAAATTAGCA